GAGAGAGAGAGAGAGAGAGAGAGAGAGAGAGAGAGGGCTTGTGCTTGCTATTGTTGAGTGTAAGATGTTGGCTTGCTCATACCAAACATGTGCAGTGTTGAGTGGTCACTTTGCAAAAGTTTGCATTTATGGGTAATTCTCAATCCTGCAACTTCCCATCAATTTCACAGGACTGTCTCCCCTGCAGCTTCCCCCCGCCGGGCTCTCACCCGGGCCTTCTGAATTCTGTCTGTTGTGGGCCCTCTAAAAAAAATAAAAAATCACTTGGCAAAAGTTGACGAAAAATGTAGTTTCATTGTGTGTTAAACTCCGGACTGTCTGGTGGCCTAGCCTTCGTCTAGCAGGGGTCCCGGGCGGCCCAGCCGGTTGGGTGCCCCGGTTTGGGGCCAGACGAGCCCAGCAAAATTTTGTGCGGGGGGGTGGGAGGCCTTTTTCGGCTAGTGGTCGCCTCCCCAGCCTCCAGCAACACAAGTTTTGTTTTTGTTTTTGATCTACGACCAGTTTTAGGAGGCGGGGAAGGTCTTCTTCGGCGACTGATCCCAGTCGCCGATCTGCGAAGATCAGTGGCTGAGATCAGCCGCCAAGAAATGGGTTCCCCCTCTGGCGGGCGACGACGCCGCGTTCGAATTCGAACACGGTACTCCCCATTGCGAAGCCCATTCACAACCGCACAGACTTCTTCTTCTTCTTCTTCTTCTTCTTCTTCTTCTTTGTGTCCTTCTAATTCTTTGTATCCTTCTTCTTCTTCTTCTTCTTCTTCTTCTTCTTCTTTGTGTCCTTCTAATTCTTTGTATCCTTCTTCTTCTTCTTCTTCTTCTTCTTCTTCTTCCGATATTTTTACTTGCTTTTTTCCCTAGCTGTTGGTCATTGCATCCTCTACTTCCACGACATTATGGCGGGCAGTGGCAGCAGCCCCAGCGGGGGGAGGGGCAGGTCTGGAAGGACGAGAGCAGATAAAGGATGTGGCGTCTTCTTCTTCTTCTTCCTCCCCCTCCTCTAACCCCTCCCCTCAGCGGACTGGCCGCTGCAACACACCCTTTCACCC